TAGTAAACACCAAAAAGTATCCCAAGAACAGACTGCAGGACCTGCCATCAGGACACTAGAGATCATTGCATAGTTCTATGTCCTTACTTATATACTGTAAATACAGGTGCATCTCAATAAATTAGAATATCAAAAAGTTAATTTCAGTAATTCAATTCAAAAAGTGAAACTCAAACTATATAGATTCATTACACACAGAGTGATATATTTCAAACATTTCTTTCTTTTAATTTTGATGATTACGGCTTACAACTAGCCTACTGCATGAACGAATCAATGCGGCAATGCATATAGGCAATCAGCCTGTGGCACTGCTGAGGCAATTCTCTAAGCAATGCAGGATGATCATTGTCTGGTGGAAAGGGCCTACAGGATGCCACATATAGGTTCCTTAAAACATCTCAGCACCTAGTCCTGATAGTACCCTCAAGAGCCCTCAGCCCTAATGCAAGCCGTGTTCCAGGTTCTTGGGGGGAGTTATGTAAATATCAAAACGTCTTGATGGGTGAATGTCAGTCTGGAGAAGCCGTTCAAAGGCAAGCTGCATTTTATGAAGACCTTCCAGGTAATGCCCATACGTGTGGCTGAGCCTGCATGCGTGAAAGAACTGAAATTCAAATCAATGAACAGGACAGGCCAGGGAAAATAAGTCTGGGAGAGGAAAAGGCTAGAAGAATCTTTACATCCTGCAGCCAAAAAATATGGCTGGCTCTCCCAGACATGCTGCAGCTTCTAAATGCACCCTGCAGGTAGCTTACATTGAAATCAAAATCAGCAATTTCAGTACATGAGAGGGGCTGTACAACCGACAAGACTGAAAGTAGAAATGGAGTTCAGCTTCATTCTATACATAACAGATATATACATATACTTGTTAAAGGATACCACTTCATGACTATTAAACTTGCTTTCAAGCAGTGCCTTTACCAATGACATAATATATTTTTAAATCTGTATAAATTTTGTACGACAAGAGCAGAAAGTTTAGACATTTTGCTAGAGTAGCACATGTAATGCACATTGGCAACTGACAAACTTGCAGCATAGAAAGATAAAGTAAATAGCCTTACTGATTTCATTTACAAATCATGTGGTTAGCTTTATATTAGCAAATGAAACCTATACTTTAAAACAGCAGTATGATCATTTGCATTTTGCATTATGTATATACAAGCAAAGCCTTTCCCAAGTTCCCATGTGTTAGCAAATGCCCCTTAGGAAGTGTTCTGAGTAAATTCAAAAGGGGGAAAAAAAACAAATAAAGCTATGATCTTTTTTAAAGGGGTAATAAAAAAAGTAAACTTCCTATAAAGCAATAAGAAACACTACTAATTAAGCTTAACATCACTAATTATTTCAACCTATTTTGGTATCATTAAAAAAAAACAAACATGTAAGCATTCTATATTGTATATTCTCAGCAGGTTTAAAACAAAACTAAAGTTGCCATACTCATAGCAGGTATGTTGGCATTGTTGTATCCGAAGTCCAATTGTATTACTTATGTGCAGCAAGTAACTCAAGGATGCATATTGCTATACATATATACCAAATTGATTTCACTAACACAGATTCTGCTGATTGAAAAACTGTACTCACCTCCTTTTACTAAACTATAAACATGTGATTGGAAGTTTTCGTAAAATGTTCTGCAATCTAGAATATACATGTCATTTGCAAATAGTAGTACTAAAATATTCTACACTGTATCAAGTAAACAAGAAACAACTGTTCCTCTGCAGACTTCTACAGGGACATTTCTCAGCTAGTAATGCTACTTGTGAAGCATCATTAGAAGGCAAACAACCCGCAGACTTGAAAAGTGCACGTTGGTTAGAAAGTGGAAACGAATCTCCCTACTTTTAAACAAACATATTTAAAGAATAAATTGCACCAGAAAGTTCAGAATTTGTGAACGCTGTACAGCACTCTATTACTGATAGGGGTGAAGCCAAAATACGTACCTCAAGGCAAACATTTACTGTCTGAGAGGAAGAATTCCAGAAAAGGATAGCTTGATCCCACATTTACATAAGCCCCAAGTTCGGAGCTCTGCATGGAACGCTTGTCAGTACCCAAGTGCTTTATGGAAAAGGCAAAAGGAAAGAGCCAGCTTCTGCATGCCGAAGATTACTGGCAAAGGACCAAAATGGGGAGGAACAAGGCTCAGAGCGAGGAGAAAAAGTCAAGTTAGGAAATCTCATCTGCAGCGAGATTTATTAGGAACACCAAATTTGTGAGCTTGAGCCCAAATCTGGTGCTTTACACAAAAGGCAAGTAATGTATATGCAGTTAAATTGAATTTGACATCTGACATTTAAATCTGGTTTGTGTATATTTGATCTGCACAGCAAATGTAATTAGAAAATTAAATTTTCCTACAGTTTCCTAATGTCCATTAATGCAGTCCTTTTTAAGCAAGCTTTTACACCATTTAGAGTTCAAACAGACACGGTTTGTAATTAGATGTGATCAATGATAAAATATGGTAAATTGCACTGTTAGTAAGGTAAAGACAACCAGTCATTTCCTCCATAATTGTAACTGCCAGAAAATGAAACAGATAATAGCTTGTTTTCAGTCCTTATCTACGCCACCATCTACAGGCCCAAATCTTTCCCTTTCCAATTCATCACGGAAATAAAGGCCCTGTAAGTAAATAAGGCAGTAAGAAACCAGGCAATCTGCACATCCATGGTTAAGCACTGTAAGCACCAGCTTGTCTTCCATCAAGCAAACTAAAAAGTGCTTAACTGAGCACACACTTAGCAAACAAGAATTAACTAGAATACAGGAACACAACTATTACTGGCACAGATCATAAAAATATACACCCATATCATTCATTTTAAGACGTTTGCATAAATAAGTTACAAAATATAAACTACAATTATGCAAGTATGTTATATGGAACAAATCAACTCTTAACCTGAGAGCAGAATCTTTATCTCAGATAATGGAAAGTATGAGGAAGCTCAATTGGCCAATCATATAGGCAGCACAGTGGCTAAATGGTTAGCACTTCCGCCAGGCATTACTAGGGCCGTGGGTTTGAATCCCAACCACAGCACCACCTGCCTGGAGTATGCATGTTCTCCCTGTGCCTGCGTGGGTTTCCTCCGGTTACTCCGGTTTCCTCCCACACTCCAAAGACATGCTGGTAGGTGAATTGGCTCCTGTCTAAAGTGGCCCCAGTATGTGTATGTATGAATGTGAATTTGGGACCTTAGATTGTATTCCCTTTGTGGGTTAGTGACTGATGTGAATGTACAATATATATGTAATGTAAAACGCTATGTAAATTGATGGCGCTATACAAGTACCTGTAATAAATAAATAAATCATGTCCCTATTCAGTGCCGAGAACAGGGAGTTTAGCACCAAAATAGTGGGCCATAATGAGTGCTTCAACCAGGAGAATCGCTTGTTAAAACTTATTAGTGTTGTCCCCATGACTTTACACTGGACTCTTAACCCAGCTAATTCTACCAGCTGACTTCCCCAGTTGCTGTCAGTGGGGTTCCACGAACAAGGCAGCACAAGCCTGGATCCAATCACTATATTTACTCACCGACCCTGACATTAAAATTCCATGAAGCCAATTCCTGTCCATACCCATTATAGGTGTCAAGCACAACTGCAATTTTTTTGTTTCTTTGTGGATGACAGCTGTTCTAATCCCTCTTCACTATGCCCAAAACTAAAACAAAAATAAACAAAAAAAAAAAAGGTTTAGCCTGGAGTTAAAAAAAACCTTACCATTGCCTCACCGTCTTTGAATCCAATGAGATTTCCTCCCTTACTCTTTGTTCCAGTGACACCCAGGCAGGAAAAAAGAGGAAATAAATGGCAACAGAACAGGGGAGTAAAAACCCCAGAAAATCCTGAGTGAAGATTTCCACCACTCTACTAAAACGACATTTTTATTGGTGTCCACATATCTTTTATAGTTTCCAACCATTACACCATCTCACCAAGATAATAAGTGAAAGGAAGTTTACCAAAGGGAACAGACACAACAACATTTAGACAAGGGTCCCCCACTATAAAAAAAAAAAAAAAAAAAAAAAAGTTTAGTCTGTGGTTGGACTTTACATTGACCCAATAACCAGGATATTAACCACTTCAATACCGGGCACTTTTACCTCCTTCCTGCCCAGGTCAATTTTCGGTTTCAGCGCTCTCAATTTGAATGACAATTGCACGGTCATGCAACACTGTACCCAAACTACATTTTTATCATTTTGTTCATACAACTAGAGCTTTCTTTTGGTGGTATTTAATCACTGAGTTTATTTTTTGCTAAATTACCGTATTTTTCGCTCCATAAGACGCACTTGGCCATAAGACGCGCCTAGGTTTTAGAGGAGAAAAACAAGAAAAAAAAATATTCTGAACCAATGGACTGCAGCACAGTACAGGAGATGGACCAGAGATGTGTCCGCAACACAGTACAGGAGATGGACCAGAGATGTGTCCGCAACACAGTACAGGAGATGGACCAGAGATGTGTCCGCAACACAGTACAGGAGATGGACCAGAGATGTGTCCGCAACACAGTACAGGAGATGGACCAGAGATGTGTCCGCAACACAGTACAGGAGATGGACCAGAGATGTGTCCGCAACAACACAGTAGACAGGAGATGGCAACCAGTACAGAGATGGACCAGAGTGTCCGCAACACAGTACAGGAGATGGACCAGAGATGTGTCCGCAACACAGTACAGGAGATGGACCAGAGACTGCGGACACAGTACAGGAGATGGACCAGAGACTGCGGACACAGTACAGGAGATGGACCAGAGACTGCGGACACAGTACAGGAGATGGACCAGAGACTGCGGACACAGTACAGGAGGAGATGGACCAGAGACTGCGGACACAGTACAGGAGATGGACCAGAGACTGCGGACACAGTACAGGAGATGGAGATGGACCAGAGACTGCGGACACAGTACAGGAGATGGACCAGAGACTGCGGACACAGTACAGGAGATGGACCAGAGACTGCGGACACAGTACAGGAGATGGACCAGAGACTGCGGACACAGTACAGGAGATGGACCAGAGACTGCGGACACAGTACAGGAGATGGACCAGAGACTGCGGACACAGTACAGGAGATGGACCAGAGACTGCGGACACAGTACAGGAGATGGACCAGAGACTGCGGACACAGTACAGGGGATGGACCAGAGACTGCGGACACAGTACAGGGGATGGACCAGAGACTGCGGACACAGTACAGGAGATGGACCAGAGACTGCGGACACAGTACAGGAGATGGACCAGAGACTGCGGACACAGTACAGGAGATGGACCAGAGACTGCGGACACAGTACAGGAGATGACCAGAGACTGCGGACATAGTACAGGAGATGACCAGAGACTGCGGACATAGTACAGGAGATGACCAGAGACTGCGGACATAGTACAGATGACCAGAGACTGCAGACAGTAAAGGAGATTACCAGAGACTGCAGACCTTTGGGGAGGGAGGGGGAGCGGGTACCTGAATTTGACAGGTACCTGCTCCCACTTCCGTGGTGTTGTCCTTCCTTCTTCCCGCGGCGGCTTCTGTGACAGCCGGGTGCCCACTGCACATGTGCGAGAAGCGCTGCGCTTTGTGAATGGCCCGGAGTCTTCTGGGACCTGTCATGTGTCCCAGAAGACGCCGGACCATTCACAAAGCGCAGCGCTTCTCGCGCATGTGCAGTGAGCACCCGGCTGTCACAGAAGCCGCCGCGGGAAGACTGTGCATCGCTGGAGCCAGGAACAGGTAAGGTCCTGCAGGAAAGAAGAGCTGAGTGGCCGGCCCGATATTCCGACATGGTGGCAGCAGAAATACCGGACCGGATGCTTTACATTCGCTCCATAAGACGCACTGACATTTTCCCCCCTTTTTTGGGGGGAAAAACGTGCGTCTTATGGAGCGAAAAATACGGTAACAAAAAAAAAAAAAATTCTGGAAATTTTGAAAAAAAATATGTTTTCTTTGTTTCTGTTCTAAAAGTTTGTAAATAAATAATTGTTCTTCATAAATTTAGGCCAAGATGTATTCTACTACATTTCTTTGGTGAAAATAACCCAAATCAGTATTTATTATTTAGTCTGTAGGAAAGTTATAGAGTTCACAAACTATGAGATATAACTGAAAATAAATCAATCCTGAAGTACTGACAGCCAATCTAATTTCTTGAGGTCCCAAAATGTCAGAACAGTACAGATATCCCGCAAATGACCCCTTTTTGCAAAGTAGACAGTCCGTCGCATTTCATAAGAGGCATGGCAAGTTTTTTGAAGTTGTGTGGCGGTGATCAGGGACACTGACTGGTGACAGTACAAAAAAAAAACGGATACATTTTTTTATTCAATTGTTATTTTTTATTACATTTTTTTTCTTAAGATTTTTTTTTCATATTAAACTATGACCAAAGTAATTTTTTTTTTTTTTTTTTACACAATTTGATTGCTTATAGCAAATAATTTCTTTGCTGTAAGCAAGCATTTAACTGAATGAAATCGATTCATTCAGCTTTTTTTGTGATTAGCCACGGCTAATCACATGGCACAGATGGGCTGTGATTGGCCCATCCTGTGCATGTGATCACTGTGACCATTCACAGCTAGACACACTTGTAAACAATGGATGGCTTCCTTTCATGCCATCCATTGTATACAACAGTCATATGACCTTCTGTGATTGGTGACAGCAGGTTACATGGTATTGGCAACGGTACACAGATCTGTCATTGGCCGTTTCCGAGGTACACAACCGGGGACAGTTCTCGCCACAGCGTGGCCCTGTCGGCACGCGCAAGGCGTGATTCAGGAAGGATGTCATATGATGCCCTCCCAGATCGACGAGAGTCCCTCCCAGCCTCTAGTAAAATGCGTGCAGACGGGCGTCATATGAAGTGGTTAACATTCAAGTATTCACTTACAGTATATTATTAGCAAGCAGTAAATGAGCTTTAAAAAAAAAAAAAAAGTTGTCACTGACCTATGTAGCTGCATGTTCCCAGCAATATTCAATGAATGTAGCACTGGAAACACAGGAAAGGCAAGAGACATAGGCCTCTGGAAAGGAGAGTATGTCTTCTACTTTTCTGTTTCAATAAAGTTTATTGTTTTCCGTAGAACAAACAGGCATACCTTATGCCCATGCAGGAGCTGAGGTACACATGCACATAAACAAATAGAGATTGTCAAATTGGACAACAAAACACATCATAAGACCAGCAATAATGCTGGAGGGCTAAAACCAATAGAACATGCAATAATCATCTAAAGTTGTAATGCTGCCCTCCTCGGGGCAACAACATGCTAAGGGTGAGAGCAGCTGCACACTCATTGTATCTATATTTCTCTTCATGCAGGAGAGGAAGATGTAAACAAGCAAAAGTGTATAAAATAAAGAAAAAAAATTGCTAGATCAAGGTTTGATCTGGGTCAGTGCCAGGATTAGTACTTGGGTCAAAGGTCAAAATCGTGGTCTGTATATTTTGTGTAGAATTTTTTTTTTTTGCTCACAATTGTTTCTGGGCCCTACTATGGATACAAACAACAACTAACATACACATGTGGTATCACTGCGATTGTCAGGAGCAGGAGATTTTCGGTTATTCTTTGGTGGTAAATTATGGTAATAGCAAGAAATATAAAGCGGAATTAAAAAATATATATTTAATATTTTTAGCCAGTTTTCTTTTGACGGTGATAAAAAAAATAAAGAATAAAATCAGGAAATATCTGTTACCATTTACAACTAAATGAAAGCCCAATACACAAAATAGTATACATATATATACATACATACATACACACACACACACATATATACTGTAGTAGAAGTGCAACAGTCTCAAGATATACTGTAAGCCTCACAGGGAATTTGGACATTCAGCCTGCACAAAGTTCAGTCTATAAGGTTTACAGCATCAACTGACTTCAGGCTCCGGAAATTGCATGATAGTAACAACTGGCAGGCTGTGGTTTTCCGAGAGGGTGAGAGGGCAACCTCTAAGAGGTCAGGATTCTCATTGTTCAGTATTACTCTGTGAATCTCGTAGGTTGGCTGATGTGAACAAACCAGCATTTATATCAAAAGCATTATTAACTTTCAAATATTTATAACATAAAACAATTACATTAAAAAAAAACTCCACTCTCTATTATACAAATGTTTTTAAAGGACAAGAAAGATGGCACACTATTAAAAAAGTATAAATGTGAAAGAAACCTTGGTAATTTGATGAGTATAGCTTGACATGCATGAACAATTATTTGTTTCCAAATTTTAAACCTTCACCTGACAAACACATTCACTGCTCCATAAATTTGGAGCAATTATCCTGTATGTCATACAGACAGACTTATTTGTCAATGTTGTATCACCAAAGCATGATGAATCACTTTAAGTCTTTCTACCCTCCAGGCTCCTACATTTCTCTTTTGTCATATCTGATAGCCATTACATGGTAATAGTAAACATACACACACTCCGGCGTTCAGGTACAGCATGACAATCTCTCTCCTGCGTATGGTCGGTTTTATAGCCCATTCACGCCTACAGATTTTTAAAAAGAGCCTTCACTAAAAAAGTCACATCAGTAAACCGCTTTGTATATGGATATGAAATTATCTTACATTAGGTAAACATTTTTTATTTTACTTACAATTACCGTTTTTCCACTTCCTGGTTTCTTGAGGCACTGGTGATGTCACCCTAGCCTCACAGCTGCATCCTGGGAGTCTGTCACATGTTCCAGGAGGCAGCCACAGCTTTCTAGGCAGAGTTCCAGGAAGGAAAGGGAACAGAAGCAATTGAGTACTGACGTGATACTTTTTTTATTTTCATTAACATACAATTTTGAGGACAAGCTTTCGGGGTATGTCCCCTTCTTCAAGGTCATCCCCTGTACTGTGTCTGCAGTCCATTGGTTCAGAATATTTTTTTTCTTATTTTTCTCCTCTAAAACCTAGGTGCGTCTTATGGTCAGGTGCGTCTTATGGAGCAAAAAATACGGTACTTCAAAGTTTTAGCAGAATGTTCAAAGAAATGTCGAAAAGGGGGGAAAAAAAAAAAAAACAGAAAGAAACACACAAATGTACACAGCAATGGATATCATATTCAAAATGCTAACACTGATGTAAAAAGCTGTCCATAATACTGCCCCAAACTACATCACCAACCTAATATCCAAATACCACCCAAAACGCACTCTCCGCTCCTCACAAGACCTCCTTCTCTCTAGTTCCCTGGTCTCCTCCTCCCATGCCCGCCTCCAGGACATCACCCATCCTCTGGAACTCCCTACCCCAATCCATCAGACTATCACCTACTCTCTCCTTTAGGCGCACCCTGAAAACCCACCTCTTCAGGGAATCCTACCCCGCCCCCTGATAATTGCCTATCTCCTCCACTCTTCCTACCACTCCATCCCCTACAGCTTTTTCCTCCCGTACCACTATCCCCTCCCTCCTAGATTGTAAGCTCCAAGGAGCAGGGTCTCGAACCCCTCGTGTATCGCATTGTATTGTTATTGTACTGTCTCGTGTATTGTCTCCCATTGTACAGCGCTGAGCGAACTATTGGAGCTATATAAATACTGTATAATAATGGTTATAAAACTGGGATTAAACTAGAGATAAGACAGAGCAACAGCAAAGGGTGGAGACAATACTCACAGAGGGGGTTGTAAAACTGCTGGATGAGTGAGGAATCCTATGTCTGACCTGGAGGAAAAATTCCTGAACAGCATGCAACAAAATTCATACAGATACTATCGCTACATTGATGATATTTTCATCATATGGACAGAAGAGGAAGAAAAACCTAAAACAATTTTACTCATTGATCAACACAACCATCAAACTAAAAATGGAATACTCAAACACACATCAACTTCCTAGACACCACAGTATACATCAGGGATGCTACGCTTCACACCTCAATATACAGGAAACCCACCGACAGATGCAACTACCTGCACAGTTCTAGCTTCCACCCCCAACACACGAAACGTGCCATCATACACAGTCAGGCCATTAGATATCACCGAATATGTTCTGACCCAAGAGACAGAGATAAACATCTCGGGACACTAGCAGACGCCTTCCATAAGAAAGGTTACAAGGACAAAACTATCAACACCAGCATAAACACAGCCTTGAGAACACAAAGGAAAAACCTACTTCAGTACAAGGAGAAAAAAACAAACAACCGTGTACCTCTAGTAACCACATACAACCCAGCACTAGAAGGAATAAGAAAAAATAATCACAGATTTACAACCCATGATAACAGAGGATGGAACTCTGAAAGATATATTTCAGCAACCCCCAATACTAGCTTTCAGACAACCTTCCCCAACCTCAGAAATATCATAATCAGAAGGAAGTTTCCTACTGATTAGTTTGTTACAAATAATGGAAGCAAACCCTGCAATAAGAAACGCTGCAAACTGTGCAACCAAATCAATCCATCAAAAAGTGTCAGACACTCAAAAGGGATCTTCAATATCTCCGGATCATACAGCTGCACCTCCAGTAATGTTGTGTACCTTATCCAGTGCAGAAAATGTAGCAAAGGATCGTACGTTGGCGAAACAAGACAGGTTGCAAACAAGGATGAATTTGCACAGACATACCATCAAGGAACATAAAGAAGATGACTTCTGCACACCTGTGGGACACCATTTTGCACAACCGGACCACACTATGGAAGACCTCAATATTTTAGTTCTTAACCACTTCCCGACCGGCCGTTGCATATAAACAGCCGGACGGTGGCAGTGCAGGGTCGGGTGGCCGTTTATAAATGGCTTCCCCTTACCCTGCTTGTGCACGCTCCCTCGGAGAGCGCAGCACCGCGATCCGGTGCCTGCTGTGTCCTCCGGACACAGTGAAACACCGATCGTCGGATGGGACCTCTGTACGAGGTCCCAATCATGTGATCACTGATTGGCAAATCAGTGATCACATGCAAAGTAGTAAGCAAGATGTCACTTGTGACATCATTGCTTACTACGTGTGAAATGTGTGAATGATCACAGAGGTCACATGGTACAAGGCTATTCACAACAGCCTTGTGCCATGTGACAAGCTGTGACCAATCACAGCTCACTCAGTACTTCTCAATGAGCGCAAGAATGCACACAGAGAGAAAGAGAAATGATTGCTTTTACATCCTATATGGGTGTAAAAGCAATCAGTGTAAAAAAATCATCATCACCCTCCACAAGTAGTACAGTACCACCATGGTGACACTGTACTGCTAGGGTGACAGTATGTAAAAAAAAAAATAATAATATAAAAAAATAAAATAAAAATTTAAAAAAAAAAAGTTTAAAAAATTATAATTTTGGGTTATAAACTAATTTGGATTTTTTTTTTTTACTAAAAAGATAACGGAATAAATTTTGGCAAGGATTTATGATGAAATATTATTTATTTGCAAAATTTTATTAAAAAAAAAACAAACTTTTTTTCAAACTTTTTGGACTTTTTCATTTACATAGCAAAAAAAAAATAAAATCCCAGCGGTGAATAAATACCACCAAAATAAAGCTTTATCCGTTTCAAAAAAAATGGTAAAAAATTCATTTG